TTTGTTGCTGCCTGTATAGTATTCGGCTGTATGAGTGTGCTGCATTTGCTTATCCATCCTCCTCCTAGTGGACATTTACTGTTTCCAGTTTCTGGCTGTAACAGAATAGAACGTTGTTCTGAACATCTTCGGGCACATGTGTACTCCTTACACTTGGTCACGTGTCGAGGAATGGAATTGTTAGCTCGTGGTCTGTCCACATGCCCAGCTTCCGTAGAGTCTTCTATACAGTTTTCCAGAGTGGTTGTACCAGCTTATTTTACTTTTACCATCAAGGTATGGCTATTTCAGTTTTCTCCATTTTTGCCAAGCTTAATATTGTCAGTCTTTTTCCTTTTAACAACTCTGATGTAACCCTTGTATGTGTTACTACGTATTTGGTTAATAGTTGACTTTTGTAAAGTGTATGATTGCATCTTTTGCTCACTTATCTATTGGGTAATCTGTCTTACTGATTTGTGAAAGTTTGTATTTGTTCTGGATACTGGCCCTTTGTTGGTTATATGGGTTGTAGGTACTCACTTTGTTGCTTTTTGTCCCTCTTAATGATGTCTTTTGCAAACAGAAGTGCTTCATTTTAAAATAGACTTACCATTCCTTGTCTTTTGCAGTTGGTACTTTTCTGTGTTCTCTTTAAGAAATCCTCTAGTGCTGCATAACAAGAGTATGCGTGCACTTTTATTATTGTCTGGAAATATTAATGGCTTGCTTTTCAAATTTAGATCTACCATCTACCTGGAATTGATTCTCTTTTAAACAGCTGCATCGAGGTATAACTTACATATTATAAAATTCATCTTTTATAAGTTTAGAGTCTGATGATTTTTATTAAACTTGCAGAATTGTATAACCATTACCACGTTCCAGTTTTAGAACACACCTACCACTCAGGAAGTTTCTTCATGCTTGTTTATAGTCATTCCTTCCTCTGCCCCCAGCAACCACTGATCTATTTTCTTTCTGTAGGGATCTGCCTTTTTTTGAAATTGCATATAAATGGAATCATATATAGTTTTTTTGTTTGGTTTCTTACACTTAGTATGTTTTTGAGGTTCACGCATGATGCACAACATATAAAAGTAGTTCGTGCCTTTTAATTGCTGAGTAGTGGTCCATTGTATGGGTGTACCATGTTTTGTTTATACTGTCCAGAATTGATTTGCGTGTAAGATATAAATATGGCTCACATGTTTTGTATTTAGATATCTGATTGTCCCAGTAGTGTTTATTGAAAAGACCCTTTTGCTCCCTGCTTAGTGGCCACCTTTGTTGTAAATCAGTTATCCTTATATGTAGGTCTCTTGGTGTCATACACTGATTAGAAACCGCTGCTACCACACTGCCTTAATTAACTTGTACTAAAGTAAACCTCAGTACTGTTCTTTTTCTAGATTCTGAAGCTGTGTTGTCTTAATACAGTAGCCTATTTAAGTTAATAAAAGCTACATCAAGCTAAAAATTCAGTTATACAATCTCTGTAGCCACATTTCAAGTGCTCAGTAGGCACACGTGACTAGTGGCTACTCTAACAGGATAGTAGTAATTTTATCATCACAGAAAGTTCTGCAGTCTAGGACAGCAGTTGGCAACCTTTTTCTTTAAGGGCTGGGTAGTAAATACTTTAGGCTTGCTGGCCTCATGGTTTCTGTTGTGCCTAATTCAACTCTGCCCTTGTAATGGGAGAGCAGCTACAGACAGTATACAAACGAATGGCCATGTCAGTGTTTCAATAAAACTTTATTTATAAAAACAGATAGCTGGCCCATGGTTTTAGTTTGCTGACTCGTGATCTAGAATGTTTTGGCTCTTCCTGGTGCTTTCTTTTTCCATATGAATACTGGAATTGTCTTGCTAAATTCTGTCTCCCTCAGCCCTCGAAGAAAAGTTGAGATTTTGTTGGGGATTGTATTAAATCTCTAGATGGACTTGAGAGAATTGGCATTTGTACAATGTTGATCTTTTAGCTCCTAAACATGGTATATTTTTATTTGAGTTTTTAATTTCTCTCAGCGTTTTCTTCGTGAAGAACATACACATCTTTTGTTAGATTTATTGCTATGAGTTTAGCATTTTTTTTTTAAAGATTTTATTTATTTATTTGAGAGAGAGAAAGCATGAGAGGGGAGAGGGTCAGAAGGAGAAACAGACTCCCCAGTGAGCCAGGAGCCCGATGTGGGACTCGATCCTGGGACTCCGGGATCATGACCTGAGCTGAAGGCAGTCGCTTAACCGACTGAGCCACCCAGGAACCCGAGTTTAGCATTTTTGATGTTCCTGTAATGGTGGATTTTCTTTGCTAAATTTCATTTTATTTTTTTTATTTTATGTTAGTTGTGATAATAGAAATATATTGGATTTTTGTATGTTCACTTTGTATCCAGCAACCTGGCTAAACTCATTTATTCAAATAATGTCTGTAGCTGTTGCTAAATTCATTTATTCAAATAATGTCTGTAGCTATTTCTTGAACTTTCTATGGGAACAGTTACATTCTCTATAGGTACTAATACTTTTGTTTCTTCTTTTTTGGTCCTTTATTTTTCTTACCTTATTTCACTAGCTAGGACTGCCAGTGCAGAGTCCATTAAAGTGGTGAGTGGGCATCCTTGTCTTGAGCTCAAAGGGAACGGTTTCTATTAGTTCCCCATGAGATGTGAGGTTTGCTGTGTCTACTGAGATGATGATTTCTTTCCTTCTTTTTTTCTGTTAACATGGCTTTCTGCCTTTTCTAATCTGAGTTAGAGTTTAAGCAGATTAAGATTCTTTAGGTTTCAGTGGAGCCCCTTTTCTAATGCCAGGAAGGTAGCTGCATCCTTGATCCCAACAGGAGTGGGCATATCAGCTGTAAAGACAGCGCCATTGGGAAAGTGGGCGGGCCAGGCTCCTGGCCTGTGTGAGTGAGCATAGCCATTACATCTCTCAGTGGATCTCCCTCCATCCAAGGTCAGTGAATGGCATCACAAAGATGAAAGAAGGAAACACGAGACCTCCTGGGTTCTATCAGACCTTGGGAGTTACATAGTTATGTCAGTCTCTCTCCAGTTCTTGAAGGCGATGAGTGTGAATCGTCTTTTGCTGCTGTTACCTCTCAGGAACTGAGATTTTAGAGAACTGTTTTAGAGCAGTGTGGCCCTAAGGAAGTGTGGGGTTTGTGCTTACTTCCTGTGCGTGCTGTTACAGGTTATCCCGGATGTAGTGGCTTGAAGCACCTCCTATTTCTGCTGTCAGAGTCGTGTGGGACAGAAGTCCAGGCGCCCCATGGCTGCACTGCGTCCTCTGCTCAGGGCTCCCAGGCTGAGGCCAAGATGTTGGCTGGGCCCAGTTCTTATCTGGAGGCTCTGGGGAAGAGGCCACCTCTAATCTCATTCCCCTTGTTGGCAGAATTCAGTTTCTTGCAGCTGTCAGACTGAGGTCAGTGTTTCTCTGGTGTGTGCTCCCGGCCTCTTCATCTGCACGCCAGCGAGGGCACGGTGAGGACCTCTCGGGCGTCAGCTCTCTGACTTCCTCTTTGGCTTCCCCTCTCTGCCTTTAAGGGCTCATGAGATTTTACCTTGAGCCCACCTGGATAATCCTGGATAACCTTCCAATTTTAAGACCAGCTGATTAGTAACCTTAATTATGTCTGCAACATCCTTTTGCCATCTGAGGAAACATGACCATGGTGTGGCACCAGGGGCAAAGGTCATGGGGTCACAGTTCTGCCCAGCACAGGGTTCAGTAATATTGTTAAGAACGTGGTCTTTCAAGTCAGATGCACCTGGATTTGAATTCTGGTCCACCACTTAGCAGCTTCAGGACCTTATGCAAATACTTAATCTTTTTAAGTATTAATTATAAAGTCTGATAATAGCAGTTTTTAATTTATAGGATAATTGTGAGGACTAAATAGGATAATTTATGTAGATCCTTTGTACAACATCTGGCACCAAATAAGTTCTCAGAAAATATGCACTGCAGTTTTACTAGTGGTGCTGGTGGTTATGGATGGAATTTCCAGGTGACCCTGCTGCATATTTACTTGCATGAAAACACTCTGGCCCACTGCTGTCCAGTAGAACTTTCAGTGATGAGAGAGCTGTTCTGTGTTTGTACACTGCAGTATGGTAGCCCCATGTAGCTGTTGAGCAGTTGAAATGTGGCTGGCGAAGCTTGAAGACTTGAAATTTTCATTTAGTTACTTTCAATTATTTTAACTTAAGTAGTCACATATGGCTAATGGTCACCAAACTGAACGGTGCGGCAGCCCCAGCAGGTAGCAGGGTTTTCAGTTGCATTTGCTGATTGTGACGAATAAAATCTTGCAGAGCGATGTGCCTGTGAGGCAACCAAGTCAGTAAATAGTAGCAGTGCTTTTAAGTAATTTGAGAAAGGGCTAGGTCTTTGGTTTGGTTTATGTTTTTTCCACTATACGGCAGTCATATGTATTCCAAAATAGCATGAGGCCTTACTTTATCATTTATAGAAGGGGGAAAAAAGAGGGAAAGTCAGGATTAGTTTCAGGGATTTTTTTTTTTTTTTTAACCAAGTTGATTCAAAAGAATCATTTGAGGGTTGGGGATGTTGGAGGCGCCGGGACTGAGGGCATTCAGTCTTCCCCAGTTCGCGTGACCTGTTCTTAGAAGTTTGTTGTTGGCAAGAGGCTCTTCCGTGCAAGCTTGTCTGGTACTTTCCCGGTTTGTTAGTATTCTGCCTGTGACAACTTGTGGGGGTGGCTCGAGGTCTCCTGCCTTTAGCACAGCATGGCTCCCGCGTCTCACTTCACGTTTTGTTTGACAGTCAAAATGTTCCTGTCCTACAGCGCTCGGTTTCCCAAAGCTTCCTTTGAGCAGGGCCCCCAAACCGTGTATGTTCACCTTCCACGACAGCTTCTTCCACTTAAAATAAGTCATAACTAAAGTGTTTCTCAACTGGGTATTTCTCTACCGACAGTGAAAATGAAATGACACAGCTTGCAGACTTGCCTGAATCGTCTAACTTGTGTTTTGTTTCGGGCTTGGTAGCCAGCCTGTCCCGGTCAGCCTTCCTGTCTCAGAGATACTATGAAGACTTGGACGAAGCCAGCTCCACGTCGTCCGTGTCCCAGTCTTTGGAGAGCGAAGACGCACGGGCGTCCTGTAAAGACGACACGGTGGCGCAGGTCCCACGGCACGCGCCTGTGGCGCGCACCCCTTCCATCCAGCCTGGGGTCTTGCCGCAAGCAGTGCCTTTCGCTAAATCTCACCTGATTCATGGTTCGCCTGGCGTGCTGGGGACGTCCAGTAAGTGCACAGCAAGCTCCCTGTAGGTTTGCGTCTGCTGGAGGAGCCGTACCTGGCTCTCATACTGTCCCACCACTAAGTCCAGCCCCGCTCTGCTAATAGTCCAGAAATTAGAAGCTGAATTCAGAAAATCTGAAAGAGGCAGGAAGAAGGGCCCTGCAGGCCTCACACCGGCACAGCTTTCCTGCTGAGTCCAGCTGGTGTTTCCAAACAGGTGTGGGGCGCCGGTCTGGCTCATTTGGAGGGGCGTGCGAATCTTGATCTCAGGGTCGTGAGTTCAAGCCCCTCGTTGGGTGGAGAGATTACATACATACATGAAAACAAACAAAAAAACAACAGCACACACACAAATGATGTTTTCAGGAGTAAGAGGAGGAGGCTGTTTGCCTCGCTCTAAAGCAACATCCTTTCATCCAACATTCATGCCTTTCAAATTCTAGCTCACTTCAGCTCGTTACTTGTAGCCATATGCTGCCCCGGAACTTGCTGGCTGCCACACTGGGTGTCAGTATTGGCTCTCAGAAGTGACCGGTACTGGGCTGTCACACCTCCAGTTCAGTGTCAGGACTTCACATTGAAGGGACTTCTAACAGAGGACAAACACCCATTGGGAGGCGCTCGAATGGAGAGATTTTATGAGAAGAGAGAGCAGGGAGTTGACCTATGTTGGCATGAAAGTTCTGTCTCGGTCAGTATCAGAGGAAGTGCTCATGTTAAAGATTTAGTTAATAGACACGGGCAGGCACATCGCCTGTGGCGTCTTTGAAAGATAGAGGAGCCAGCCTGTGAGTTTATTGGTACTTTTTTGTGTGCGTACTTAAGCATTTTTTTTTTTTTTAAAGATTTTATTTATTTATCTGACAGAGAGAGGGAACACAAGCAGGGGGAGTGGGAGAGGGAGAAGCAGGCTCCCCGCAGAGCAGGGAGCCCGATGCGGGACTCGATCCCAGGACCCTGGGATCATGACCTGAGCTGAAGGCAGTCGCTTAACCAACTGAGCCACCCAGGCGCCCTGCTTAAGCATTTTTAATCTTAGTGTTTTCCCTGTAACTTCACAGTGGAGGACTTGCCTCTTTTACTTTTGTGTATTCCTCTCCGACCCACTCTCTTACTTAGTGTTTCTTTTTCCTTCAGTGTTGACATCTGCTAGCAAAATTATTCCTCAAGGGGCTGATAGCACAATGCTTGCAACAAAAACCGTGAAACATGGCGCCCCCGGTCCTTCGCACAGCCTCTCGGCCCCTCAGGCGGCTGCCGCTGCAGCGCTGAGACGTCAGATGGCCAGCCAGGCCCCAGGTAGCCACGGTTGTGAGCTCTGGCCACCGCAGGCCAGCACAGCAGGTCCCAGGCAGCAGCTGGCTCTCTTTGCTGCCCTTGAGAAGAGAGGACTGATGGGACAGTCCTCCCCCCATTTCAGGGAGTGGGTCCCAAGAAGGCAGAGACTAGATCTGAAGCTTTTTCATTTCAAGGGGAGGTATTAGATCTGCCACATCCAGTCAAGTGGGAAATCTGTGGTTTTGGGGTGAGGTTGTTGATCCCTACTTTTGAATAATACCTGCTTCAAGCCCCAAATTAATCTTTGCTGTTAGATCACTAGATAACATTAGAATTGTCTCATAGTATCAATAAGGATCCCAGCCACTCTGGGAGGTGGGTATTAGTGTACCCATTTTGCTTTTGAGTAATGTCAGGTTCGGAGAGAGGTGAAGGTGACCCAGCCGATAAGTAGCAGAACCCGGCCTCCAACCCTGTGCTCTTTCTGTTTCAGTGCAGTGTTTTCTTAAGATTGCCAGTTTAGCCTTTACAGATGGAAACTCTGATGAGCTCGTCATCATCAGCACTTGCATTTTGTCGGTGCTTTGTGGCTATCCAGAACTTCCTGCATTAGGATTTCTAGGTAGTTGGCCTCAAGGGCTTCAGTTGCCACCAGGAATGTTTCGTGGTTCTCAAGTGGAGGCTATTTTGCACCTGGCACTCCTCCCCAGCGGTTGGCCGTGCTGCTGGCCTCTAGTGGGTAGAGGTCAGGAATGCTGTAAAAGATCTTCCAGTGCACAGGATACGCCCGCAACACAGGATGACCCAGGCTGAAAATGTCAGTAGTGCCGAAGTTGAGAAACTGCTATAAATCAAATATTTGTGTTTTAGTCGAATAAAATTATTTTTTAGTTTTATCCCTGCTCAGAACACGTATCACTTTGGACAGTTGTTTTTAAAAGACTAAAGAGACATAGTGGTTTGATTTAGACAAAAACAGGATTACCATTACGATAAAAGCATTCTGAAGAAAAGTTCAAATATTAAAACCCTTATTAAGGCGTCTAAAATAGATATGAAAGAGCACAAACAAGATAACTTTTTAAGGTAGCTTTGAGCCTTCTGAAAAAAATAGAAGTCTTCGATCTTTTCTTTAAATGTTACTTGGAGGAAGCAGAATCTTGGCATTGTGCTGAATAGGCCCCAGATCAAGCTGATTGAGTCGATTATTTATAAACGTAAAATCTGCCAGGATGTGGGATTATTCCACTCAGCAGGAGGTGGTGTGATTTCTGTTATCATTTTGGAAGCAAAAATTTCTAAGGTGTAGGCACCTTTGAATGTAAAGGATGTGGTATGTGTAGCCGTAGGCAAGAAGAGCCTGCTCGCTTCTCTGAAGGAGGGAATGAGCGAGCTGCCACACACCCCCCATTCCACCTTGGCCACCGCGTTCAGCTGTGTCAAAAAACTGATCCAAGAGCTTTGCTCAGACTTTCTTAGTAGTTAACTATGAGATGTCATTAAGTGTTTTGGAATGCAGTTTTAAATTGAAAGACCAAAAAGACAAGCAAGCTGACATGCCTAAGATAAATAAGGTGTCATGCCCATCCCTGTTGCCATTCCTTAATTCAGGCCTCTTGACCTTTTCCCCCATTCTTGTTCAAGCTCTGTTTTCCACATCTTATTCATGTGCCTGTCTCACTAAGCTGTGAGCTCCTTTAGAGAAGCTATATTTTGGACATTTTTTGGTATTCCCAACACCTAACAAAATCTGGTAATAATAAGCTGCCCATGTGAAAGAACGGTTGGATGGATGGCAAAATCCTTAATCTGAACACTGCTCATCCTCTGGCTCTTTCTGCCCTTTTCCAGGATGAGCCAGCAGTGTTGCAGGTAGCTCAGCTCTGCTCTATAAAAGATGGCCAGGGAATTCTTTTTCCCTAAACTAGTACATTTGATTAAATTGCACAAAACCTCATCCCATAATCTTTACTAATGTAGTAGGCCAGCTGTCCCATTGAGCACAGAGCTGCAGAACTGCCCAGAGTAGATTTCCTTTATATAATAAGATTACATTCTGCTTGAATTTGTTGTCCTGGTTTTTCATTTGTATATGGCTGGAATTTGTGATCCTTTACTGCAGTTAATACACCTCTCTCTTCTCTATTTGAATAGCTGTAAGTACTTTGACTGAATCAACTCTGAAGAATGTCCCTCAAGTGGTAAATGTGCAGGAACTGAAGAATAACCCTACAGCCACCTCTGCAGCGATGGGGTATGTTACTACTTGGAGTGTGTTCCAGCCAGTGAGTTCTTCTGTAGTAGCGACGGACTGCCTGCGGGGGCAGCACTGCGCTGTCACACTGTTCCTGGCAGAGCCTTAGGTTCTCTTCGGTTAGATCTCTTTAGCCACTGCACCCTCTCCCAGGCACAGGGAAGAGTTGAGGGGCATTTCTTCACTTTGAACAGAGGGATGGTGAGGACCAGTGTCATTCAGGGAGTTGGTGTCTGGTGGTTAGTCCTGCAGCAGGAAGAGCAGCCCCAGGCCCTGGTTTTTTCCACATCGTGCCTGTTCTCTGCCACCCCATGGAGCAGATCTGCTCACTGCTCTGTTTTGGCCTTATCGAGTGGCCCTGCTTCCCTAGTCCACCGGCCTTCTCTTTATTCCTCATTGGTCCGTTTATCAACACTGCCTGTTCCAGGAATTTCTTAGTTATCTCAGGGCTATCCTAACAGCTAAAACAGCTAAAAACAAGCCTACCCACTTTCCTATCTTGTAGTGACCTTGAAGCTTTGGTATGCTGTTTATACCAAGATGGCATTTTTGGTTGTTGCGAACTTCCAAGGGAAAGAACTGTGTATTAGAGTTTGGGAATTGTAGCCAGATTCCTAGTGTAGGGAAGGCAAAGAAAAGCCACCAAAAGGCGAATATTACATAAGACAGGAAAATCCAGTTTAATGGTGAAAGCAGTATGGTCTGGGATTTCTGAGATACTTTAGCCATTAACCATGGAGGAGAAACACCCTTAGTGGTTTCACCTAGCCTTTTCTTAAACTCTGTTTCCCTCAACTGGTTCATCTGAGCAGATCTCTGATCAGGGCTTTGTCAGAGGAACAGATTTATGCTTGCCCTTTTCTCTGACTTAAGAAAAACAGATACAAAAAATCAAAAGGAATCTTAAAGAAACTTTCTCTTCCTTCCCTACGGATTTGGACTGTTAATACACTTATTGAACTTGTATGCCCAGCACGGTGCCTGGAATGTAATTCATTTTTAATAACCATGCATTGAGTAATGGGTTAATGCTAAGCATTAATTGATAAATGCAAATTGGCATTTACCGCCTCTTCCAATAAGAAAGCTGGAGAGAGAAAGACGTTCATTGTGAAACTGCTTTCATATTCTGGTAAGCGGTAGTTTCCTTAAGTGTATTTTAAGTATTTAAGTACTTAACTTTGCATTTAACTTTTTCTGAGTAGTATCTTACAGAAGATTTATTGTAAGATGAACTTACGTATTTCTGCATGGCTTCATCCATTACATTCATTGACTAACCACCCTGTTTTAAGGAAGAGGGTTTATCTAACGCAAACCCGTGGCTACTCAGTCACTCGGGATTCCGCAGATTCTTACGGGGCATCTGCTAGGAGTATGATACTGCCCTGGGTATTAGGGATGCAGTCGCGAATGAGACTTACCAAGGCCCCGCTTTCACGGCACTTACATTTTAGCAAGACAGCCACTAAGAGCCACTGGCAGTTACACAAGGAGTTATTTGATTGCAGTATAGTTAAGTCTGATGAAGAAGTGCAAGCATATAATGAGCAGTCTCCTTGAATCTGGGTTGACGAGGAGGTTGGTAAGGGAAAGATACTTTAGCTGAAAGTGACCAGAAGTTGCCTGTGGAGAGAAGAGTGTTCTGGACAGAGGATGCAGAATATCTGGAAGCCCAAACCTAGGACAGAGCAGAGCACATTTGAGGCAGAGTTGGAAGAAGGCCAGTATAGAGACCTGGCAGGAGGTGGAGTGTGAAGAGGGGGGCCAAACGAGGTGGGGTTGCTGGTTTCTTTGCTTTTTTACCAAAACACACCAGACACATCATTTCTTTTTTTTTCCTTTCTTTTTTTTTTTTTTTTAAGATTTTATTTATTTGAGAGTGAGAGAGAGAAAGCATGGGGGGGGGAGGGTCAGAGGAAGAAGCAGACTCCCTGCTGAGCAGAGAACCCAATGTGGGACTTGATCCTGGGGCTCTAGGATCACGACCTGAGCTGAAGGCAGACGCTTAACTGATTGAGCCACCCAGGTGCCCAGAGACATCATTTCTTTCAGGAATTTTGGTGTTCATTTATTTATCCTTTCAACAAATGCTTAATTAAATACTTTTTAAAAAATTATGTATTTTAGAGAGAGCATGTGAGCAGGGAGAGGGGCAAAGGGAGAGAGAGAAGCAGACTCTGCACCAAGCGTGGAGCCCGACGCAGGGTTCGATCCCATGACCCCAAGATCATGACCCAAGCCGAAATCAAGAGTCAGATGCCCAACTGACTGAGCCACCCAGGCGCCCCTTAATTAAATACTTAATACACTCTTCTAGGTGCTGGGGATAAAGCAGTTAACAAAACAGACAAAAAACCAACCAACCCTGCCCTAGTCATCAAAAGACAATAAATGAAATGAATAACTAAAATATGAAGTGTTTAAGATGGTGACAGTTGTGATGGAGGAAATTGAAGTAGGGAAGGGATTTAAGGACTGTTATCTGGGTGTGGGCTATAATTTTGAAGAGGGTGCTTCTCTTCCATGGTTAGTGCTGAAAGTATCTCAGAAGCACCAGACCATACTGCTTTCACCATTAAGCTGGATCTTCCTGTCTTACGTAAAATTCTGCCTTCCAGTGGCTTCTGACACTTGACATTTGAGTAAAGATCAAAAGGCCAGAGAGCAAGCAGGTCTCGTGAGTATCCTAAAGAAGAAAGCCCCACCGGCCCTGTAGCAGGAGCGTGTCTGGCAAGTTCGGGAAGGCCAGGAGGCTGCTGGTGGCTGAAACAGGAGGGAGAGCACCAAGAGCCAAGGTCAGGGAGTGGGGGCAGGAGTGAAGTCCTGTGTCCTATAACATCTAGTGAACCTTGGTCAGGACCTAGCTGCAGAGGTCTGTTCAGTGCTTTGGGCAGTTGTATAACCTGTTCTGATTTGTTTTGTTTTTTAACCTTAGCAGATTTTTTTTAATTGAGACATAATTTATATACAGTAAAATTCACCTTTTTTTAGTGTAAAATTCTGTGAGCTTTGATAAACATGAATAGTTGGGATGACCTACGGTTTTAGCAGGAAGCTTCTGGTTCTTATATTAAGAATATATATATTTTTTAAAGATTTTATTTATTTATTGGAGAGAGAGAGAGTGAGAGAGAACATGAGAGGGGAAAGGGTCAGAGGGAGAAGCAGACTCTCCACCGAGCAGGGAGCCTGACATGGGACTCGATCCTGGGACTTCAGGACCATGACCTGAGCCGAAGGCAGTCGCTTAACCAACTGAGCCACTCAGGTGCCCTATATTAAGAATATTTCTAAAGGGCTGGAGTGTGGAATGGTAGAAATAGAACAGTTAGGAAGCTTTTTCTTTCTTTTTTTTTTTTTCCCCTGTTGTGGTAGAATATATACATAACAAAATTTACCATTTTAACCATTTTTAAGTGTACAATTTTAGTGATATTAAGTCATTTACCATGTTGTGTAAGCCACTATTTATTTCTAGAACTTTTTCATTATCCCAGATTGAACCTGTACCCGTTACATAACTGTCCACTCCACCCTCTCCCCAGCCCCTGGTAACCTCTATACTATTTTCTGTCTCTAAGAATTTTCCTATTCTAGGTACCTCATATAAATGGAATCATACACTATTGGTCCTTTTGTGTCTGGCTTATTTATTTCACTTGGATTTTTAAGATTCATTCAAGTTGTAGCATGTGTCAGAATTTCAGTCCTTTTATGGCTGATTAATATTCCATTGTATGGATATACTCTATCTTATTTATCCATTCATCTGTTGATGGACACGTGGGTTTCCCCTTCTTAGCTATTATGAGTAATGTAGTGAACATTGTGTACTGTCCTTGTACAAGTGTCTGCTTGAGTCCCTGCTTTCAAGTATTTTGGGTAATATTTTAGAAGCAGAATTGCTAGGGGCACCTGGGTAGCTCAGTCGGTTGGACATCTGACTCTTGATTTTGTCTCAAGTCATGCTCTCACGGTTGAGGGATCGAGTCCCTCTCCCTCTGCTCTTTCCCCCCTGCTCACGTGCGCGTGTACTCTCTCTCTCTCTCTCTCTCAAATAAATAAATCTTAAGTAGAATTGCTAGATCATATTGTTAATTCAGTGTTTAGCTTTTTAAGCTAAACATAGTTCAAACTGTTTTCCAAAGCTGCTACACCCTTTTACGTTCCCGGGGGCTTGATCCCAGGACTCTGGGATCATGACCTGAGCCGAAGGCAGACGCTTGACCGACTGAGCCACCCAGGCGCCCCTCTTGTGTGGTTTTGATATGCATTTCCTAATGGCTAATGATGTTGGGCATCCATTTCTGCATATTGGCCATTTGTATCTTCTTTGGAGAAATGTCCATTTATATCTTTTGCCCATTTTTTAAATGGATCATTTGTCTCCCATTCCTCAGGTGGTTTTTCACTTTCTTGATAGTGTCCTTTGAATCACGAAAGTTTTAATTTTAATGAAGTTTAGTTTTTCTTTTTTTTTTTTTGCCTGTGCATTGGATGTCATATTTAAGAAACCATTGCCTAATCAAACGTCATAAAGATTTATATCTATGTTTTCTTCTAAATCTTTTAGTTTGAGCTCTTACATTTAGGTCTTTCACCCATTTTGACTTAATTTTTGTAAATAGTGTGACATCGTGGTCCAACTTCATTCTTTGGCAAATGGATATCCAGTTGTCCCAGCACCATTTGTTGAAAAGACTCTTTTTCCCCCCCATTAAATTGTCTTGGTAGCCTCGTCACATTGGTTGGTTTTTGAATATTAGACCAATCTTTGATAATGATGCATTGCCCTTGTTGTATATAGTTGGATTCCATAGAATTTTAGCATCTACCTTAATGAAGGATATTGGTATATAGATTTTCTTTTCGTGTGATGTCTTTGTTCAGTTTTGGTATCAGAACGATGCTGGCCTTGTAGGATAAGTTGGAAAGTATTCTTTCCTCTTCAATGTCCTGGAAGAGTTTATGTAGATTTGTTATTATCTCATCCTTAA